TGCAAAAGGCTCCCAGACGCAGGGCATTGATCCATGAGCACTTCATGCAAACGGAAAATTCTTCATTCGCCTTTTTTTCATTACTCAGGCTTGCAAACTGCGTACAATGAGGTAGGGAACCAAACCAGTTTTCGGCGTTGTGCTTTGCCTTCCTTTGTCTGGCTGAAGGTTGCAGAGCCTGCTCGAGGGCCAGCGGCAAGGTGTGACAGTTCAGGAGGCCGAAGCAGAAGAGATTTCATCAATGTGTTGCAGCATCGTAGCTGCAGCCTGAGAACTTGCACCCGGTGTCCTGGAGACTACGGGTTGCACTCCTCCGCACTGCGAAACCAGATAGATGCTCCACACCAGTTCCCCCCAAGAACGAGATGCTTCTACAGGGCCACAGCCTGCTGTTGTGTTGCTGATGTTGTCGGCGGCTTTGAATTTTACGACGGTGCGAGATAATTAAGCAAGTTAGCAGGATAATTCCGTATTGCGGTCTCTCGCAGGCCCATTTCTTCGTCTTGGCTTTGGTCGGCTCGAGGGCAGAAGTGAGAGAGGGCAGCGTCCTCTGGCAGCTGATCCAGGGTCTGCCGACCTGGCGCACGTTAACAAGGGGATTAATTGACTGTTCTTCGGGTGTCCCTGAGCTACGACGAGAGGACGAGGCACAGGTAGCCCGGTACCTCTCTCTCTCTCTTTTCCTCTCGCTCTCCCTCCGCTTGTCTCTTGGCATACAATGTTAACGTACGCTGGTATGTCCACAATCACCCATGTATGTGTGACATGAATTCATGTAGATGAATTACTCAAGGTATGTACGCTTGCTTACAGAAACACCCATATCGCGTCCGACATGTCAGCAAGTGTGTGCTTTGAGATGGGCCAGGCCACCCCTCATCTCGTCGCCAGTTCCGGCCGATTCCATGGAGGGGGCTGGGCCTCCCAGCTCTTGTGAAGTAGGATTGACTCATCTTGTGGTTGTAGCCTACGCGAGCAGGCTGTCCTGAGACATGCTGGCACTCGTGGATGTTTGGTGGTGTATTGGCCCTGTAGGTGGACCTTTCTGTTCGTTGGCTAATGCGTCGGTGTGTATAGTCTTGCAGGATTTAGGGTGGGCTCGTGGGCATCTGGTATTTGCCATGCTGTCTCCATACTGTCGTGTTACCCGTGGGGCTGTCGAAACGCGGATCCTCGATGTCCATGACAACGACTTGAACGCAGGCGCTCCTGCACTTCACAAAGAAGACCGCCATCGAACTCCTGGGCCATTTGTGGCAGTGGGTCAAGACGAGGCCAGGTCACTCGCTGCGCCTACTCCCAGCTTGTAAAAGCAAGATTCTCAATCCATGTCGAAGGCCCGACTTTTTGCGGTCCTCGCTCGAGATGGTCTCGCAGCTGCTTCTGAATCAGGACTTTGGGCCTAGTTCTGGTTCTGGCTTGTTTGGGCCAAGGCAAGGCTGCTAGACCACAGCGCCAACAGATGCACCTTTCTCGCCTGACATGTCTCAAAAAGGCAGTGCAAGGACTGGCGCTATGGACCTGTTAGATCCTGTTAGCAGGATCCGCCCAACAGCCCAGCACACCTGGCCGAGCGCACGAAGCAAGTGCAGCAGGTGGGGAAGTTCATGGTGTGCTCGGTGTTTAAGCGACTTGAGTGGGCCCAACGTCTGTGACGGTTAGGGTCAGGGCTTTGCCGGGGAGGAGGGACTAAGTTCCAATGTGCAGCCCCGGATGTTTGTCTGCGTGGTCCGGCTTGGGTTGAACCTGAGCCGATACTGTCGTGAATAGTATTACTAGGTCACTCGGTGTAGGTATATATTTTCTGGGAGTTGCAGTCGAGGCGGCATCTATGGCCTTCAAAGACATTTGCCTTGGCGGCAAGCACCACCTGCAGGTGCATTTCGGGCCGTGTGACGGCGATAAATTCCTACAGATCAAGGTGATAGCAGACCAGCTGGGATGACGTCTTGGGCTTGGGTCAGGGATTTAGGGGTTGGTTCAACCTTTCTACGTTGTATTTTCGCATGGGCCGTAGCTCGAGGTCGGCAACAGCTTGACTGCACCAGTGTGGCCCCATCAGCTGCTGCAGTGGCAGGATTTAGTGCCTCAGTTGATCCAGCTGTACGTGGCGACCTGAGCCAAGAGAGGTGCACAAGTGACTGGATATCATAGAAGAGATGACTACATTTCCCGTTTTCACCAGAAGCAGCTGACAGGATATGAGACTTAGAACATGAAGGACCGGAACCGTTCTGGCTCAAGTCAGAGCGCAGTTCCGGCTTAAGCCTGTGAAACTCTTGCAGTCATCAAGGCCAAGAACCAAGAGCCCAGCAGCCCGGGATACAGTACTGCTGGAACCTGCGACAGGGTTACATTGCTCCGCAGGAGGGGGTGTTGATGCCAGTGGAGGGTGCATGCTTTGCACTCCAACACAGATGTGAGCCATAGACTGGAAAGGCAGTCAATGATGTTCGGCTGGTTTTGTCTTAACCGCTGCGACAGAACACCGCACGTGAGACTGCCTTGCTGTTCTCGCGGCTTGAGTGCTCTCTAAAAGTACCAAGCGGCCATTTAAGTGCTTTTGGTGGCCGCGGCTGTCTGAGGTCCAGACGACGATCTTGAATGGGCCTTAGCTTTCCAGCAAGTGTGGTCCAAAGCCCTATGCTCCCACAAGAGTGCCTGGCAGAGTCTGCCTAGATACGCCAACGTTTGGTAGAGGTTCGTCTGAAGCCCTACAACTTATGCACGACTTGCCGAGACAGCCTAGATCCTGATCGAGGTTTCAAGCTGATGGCACGCACTCACAGCCTTGTGCGGTCAGTGGGCCAGGCGTGCTGGAAGTAGAAGGCCGAAGCTCGGTGGCCACGGCCCAGGCCCATCCGGATGCATCTCTTCATCGTCGATGGTGTAGGCTCTGTCGTGGCGAGCTTGACTCAGGAGAGGGCAGAAGTTCAGAGTTCAAGCCGAGTTGCATGGCTCAGCCTGCTAGCCGCTGCTACTGCTGCTGATGCTGCTGCTACTGCTACTGCCTTGCTTGCTTATCGATGCGACGGCGACTGGACAACGACGACGGCAAGGGCTACGACGACGAGTGCCAGGTCGGTGCTTTGCTTCCCGCAGCTGACTAAAAACAGCACGGCATGGCACGGTTTTGAAGAGGGCCTGAAGTATTGCTGCTCCTGTGGAAGAGCATGTGTTTCTTCCGCAAAAGGGCCCAGAGTCTTGATCGCGTCGGCGTTACGCCTCACGGGGGGTGCTGCTCTAAGTGATATTGAGTAGCATTTAGCCGAAGAAGAACGATGAAGCTGATGGTGGTGCGGGTGATAATGACTGTGACCGTGATGACGGCGAACAGAATGATTGTGGAGACAATGATGGTGCCGATGATGTGAACAAGAGGATGATGATCATGCGGAGGCTTCTGCTAATGATGATGGTGATGATGCCCCTTCTAATGGCCATAAAGCTGCTTCTGTCAATGCTTCTACTGATGATGATGATGATGATGATGACGATGACGGCGTCCTGCTGCTCCTGCTGGTGATGGACGATGACGGTGATGACGATGGTGGTATTGGCGATGACGAAGATGGGATGATGCTCTGATTGTCATGATGGTGATGGGGCGTGTGGTGGTTGGTGGTAACGATGAAGGGTGCCGGTGCGGTTGTGGTTATGATTCTTATGATGCTGATGCATGGTGGTGGGGAGGGAAGGTGATGCCACGATTGTGGTGATCATGGTGACTGGCATGACAGTGATCATGAGGGCAGGCTATGGATAGGCTGGTCGTGGTAGTTGTGGTCTTGTTATCCCTGTTGCTCCTTCCGCTGCTGCTGCTTCTGCTGCTAGGAGGACAAGTTTCGGTCTGGACTGGAGCAGCTGGTCACGCCGCTGATGAACGGCCCGCCTCCTTTAGTCCTACTGTTTGCCGATGGGGTTGCTTGTTCAAGAGACGCCTGGCCACCGTGGTGCTTCTGGTGCTTGAGACTTGCACACATAGGACTTGATAGTTAGTAGGGTTTCATGGTTGACTAGGATTTGTCAACTACGGCTCTGAGTTGCGGCTTCGACAAGGTTGCATCCACGTTGCTAAACAGAGACCCGCAGTCCCCTGACGCCCAGCCTGCAACCCCAAACTTCCGGAGATGCATCAAAAACCCTTATGCCTGTGCGAGTTGTTTTGATGGCGCTAACGCCGAAACCGAGGCTTTTTCGAGACTGTAATCACCGAGGCTTGAACTCGGAGAGAGAACGGCCGGTTGCTGGCCGCTCAGTGTGTGTAGGGGTTGGAGGGTTTGGTTTTCTGCGTGATCTGGTTGGGATCGATTGGCAACCATCCGTGAGTGAAGACTTGGAATTCAGGTCTTAGCTGGGGAGTGGCGGTAGGGTAGTAGACGGGGTGGGGAGATGAGTTTTCATCCAGAAATTCAGATTTCTGAATGCAGAACAACGATTTCACATAAGAGGGAAATCAGATAGGTAGGCGACTGCGCAAACAAGCTTTCAAAGACTTCGGAGTCCCAGGTGCGTAAAGCCCATGCCCATTCACCAGAAAGGCTTCGGTTAACTTCCTGACCATTGCAACCACACAGAGTGGTTTGTGATCTTGCAGCCAACGGACTCGATCCCGAAGCCATCAGTTGGCTCTCCCTTGTCTGCCAAGCTGGTGCTGGGGCCCTAAGATAAAAGAAGGGCAACCATATGGGGCTAGATATAGGTCTGATCGCAGGTTCAACAACATCATGAGTAGACTCCTTTGGCTGAGCTTTCCGGGTGCTCTATGCATTCATGAGTCTTTGGAGCGTGCAGCCACTCTAACAGATGCGCTTCATCGCCTCAAGCCTTAAGCTACCATGCAAAAGCCGCACCATGCAATTCTTATGGACATCTTCGTGTGCTCATGAGTTTTCTGTATACCCGCAACAAGATAGGAAGTCACGTCGGACTGACCGAAACCACCCCTAGCGTGGCCACCGTGGCGCGGTCCCGGGGCTCCTCGCTTGCGGGGTCTGGTGATGAGCCACTATGTCAGCGGAAGGCCGGGTCTGGCTCCAGTCAGGGTCCGTCGGAGGCCGAGCTTCCGTTGATACATGAGCTGTTTCTTGGGTGTGCTTGGCGGAACAAGCAGGCTGAGTTGGCTATCTCCTTTAGCCATCCCTTGATTTAAGAATCCCCAGGTGCGTGGCAGTATCCTGAGTATGGCTGGCGACTGTAGGATTAAGCGAGAAGCATGAAACCAAAAAGGCCAAAGCAGTCCTTCCGTAGTGGCAAAGCAGTTGGAGTCCTGCGTGCAGGCAGTTTATCTTCGAGGAGAGGCCTCGCTGGATATTTCTGGGCCTGCCGCCAGGCTGCGAAAGCTTCGATATCCAGGAAGGTTGAAAGTTGACGAAGCAAGATTTGTTTGCACTTCTTGCTCCTCGCCTGTCTGGCATCTTGTGAACAGACCTGCACGATTTTCCAGCAGCACTTCGGTGAGGTTGGTGGTCATGCTGATCGGGATGCTGATTGGCATTCTGAGCCTCGGCTGAAAATTCCATGCCCAGCTGTAAAGCGGGTGAACAAAGAGGCTTTGACTTTGAGACTAGCGGCTAGGGGTCGGCCTTTTGCGTTGGTATGCTGGAATTATGGTTGAGAGTTGTTCTCGATGTGTGATGCTCGGTTCGCAAGATTGCTTCATCTCTCTTTGGCAAGGTTCGTGTTCTTCTGCCATCTTTCCAATGCTTGTATTCAAGAACTTCAAGCTTTGAGAATGTGTCATTTGACCATCGCGCTAGCTTTTGAAAGCCGTGGGAGTGAAGGTCATTATTTGGCCGTCCAGAAACACAGCCCTAGGCTCTAAAGCCTGTGCAGCAAGCAGAAAGGGGCGATTAAAAGAAAGCCTGTGCACCCGAAGCCCCGCTTAAGCAAGGCTCGGACTAATCATCAGCCTCGCCGGGATCTACCTTTTCGAGGCCCGAGATTGATGTGTGAAACTTTTCAGGAAGACGACGGTGTGGAAAGGCGATAGTGTAATGGTCGAGCAGCACGGCCCGGTACAGTATCACTTCGTAACACAGCCAGCTTGGCAGGAAATGCGAAGCCGACAGGTAAGTATACACGATTGCAGTGCCCAAGAACGAGTGTGAGGTTTATTGTGCCATCGGGGGCGAACGCCACCAAAGACGCGAGTGTCGGTATCACTGAGTACCAGACGAGTGAGTCTGGAGTGTAGACTCCACGATGTAGTCCATCCGGGTTGGGTCGGTTTACAGGCTAAGGGGCCCTGTTGCGGGCATATATAGATCAGGCTTCACGGTAGGATGTCCAGATGTTTGGGTTCAGGGTTTAAGTTGGACTTTGGATTGCGTTGAGATTTGGTTCAGGCTGTCTCTGTGAGGGCCAGGGGCTTGGCTTGCTTTACCTTGGGTCGGGTTAGGTTTGAACGTAGGCTGGGGTAGGGTTCTGTGGAGTAGGTTGGGTCGGGTGAAGTTAGGATAGCTAAGAGTAGGTGAGGGTGGGTCAGGTTAGGTTGGATTATTGGGTTGCCTTGGGTTGGGTTGGATTGGCTTGGGTTTGGCTAGGTCGCGTTGGGTTGGCTTCGCCCGGGCTTTGTTTGTTAGGTACGAGCTAGAACCCGTCAACTTTCTGTTGGGTTGGGTTGCGTTAGATTGAGATAGGTAAGCTCGGGGTGTTGTGGTGGGTTGGGAAGACTAGGGTGGGGAGGCTTGGGCAAGGTTGGGGAGGCTACGTCGGGGTTTGCTTGGGGTGGGCTGGGAGAAGCTTGGCTGATCGGCTGGGGTTAGGGTAGGTTCGGTAAGTTTGGGTCGGGGTTGGATTTGAACCCTCTAAACATTGTCCGAGAGCAAGAGAGCGGGAACAGATAACAATATATGGTAAAAAAGTATAGCCAGTATGGCACTTCAACACAAGAACTGTGACTCCTACGGTTGCATCCCTCGTTCAACGAGAACGCCCTGCTGTTGAGGAGTGTTCGATGGCACACAATCCAAGCCCATGCTGAAAATAGCACTTCAACCACACTGTGCCCATGAACGCACGCAGGAGCCTCACGCGAAATCGCGTGCTCATAGTTTCAGAGCAAGCAGCGATCTAACTACGACAGGTCATTAACATGAAAACAGCAGCTTGGAGAGCTGAGCTCAGAAGCCCGGGCAATTATGGGACCTTCGGCTCGCCACACTAGATAGAGAGTACCGTGAGTCGCCAATTCGGTCCACAATGCTAGCACGTTCTGGGTTTCGCCACCCAAACAAACTGTAGGTGTCGGCTTTGAAAGTGGAGGCTATAGGTCTTCGGCTCATAGCAGTTCAGGATGGGACAGGATGGATCTAAGGCGGCCATGACCTTTTCGTTCCCATCGGTTCACGTGCATGTGCTGCATGTGGAATGGAGGCCGCGCTCGTCGGATTGGCGATTTTCATTCTTTACGATGCCTACGACCTGACCTTCCTGATGCTTGGCATTCATGGCCCCAGCAGCCAGAAGGAATGATGGCAAACCACGTAGCAGCAAGAGAGACCAAGACAGGTAAGCAGTACCTAGAGAAACAGAAACCAAAGTGTTGAGAGAACTCAGACAGCCATTTGACATCGACCTTTTGCCATCGACATGTGCTGAAAGGCTTCTCAGGAACAGTAACTTTCGGTGATTCCGCTTCTTGGGAGGAAGAAATCCGGAGCTGCGGACAAGACAGGCTTCGCGCTGATGGTGATGCTGCATCCTCAGCGAAACTTAAGACTTGAGCCTCCATGCGAGGTTCGGGGCTGAGATGGACGGTTTCAGCGGAGCATTGAGGTGGCTCAGGGTTCAAGCCAGTCGGGTTTGCTGTTGGCTTCGAGGATCCCCTCTCCTTTGGGCACGTTCTTGACGGGGTCGCAGATTGTAGCTACAAGAAGCTTGTAGTTCAACTGAGCACGTGGTTCCCCAGGTTGACCTTCCGAGGGCCGTGGTGCACGCACGGCCATGACGGCATCACGTAGTCTTCATGCTTTGCATGCTTTGGGAACTGAGACTCTGAGGCTATGCACAGCGCTGCTCATCATATTCATGGCCGCCATCCGCAGCGAGCTGAGGTTCTCAGGGGTAGTCTGAGCCGACGCCTCCCCAACCTGGCGCCCTCTCCTGGAAGTCTCCGGATGATCTGATTCCTGAACTTCTGCCGCGCGCCGCGCGGTGAGTCGCACACGCCAAAGTTCTGCAAATCCAAGCCGGGATTCCCAAGCCGATGGAAGCCCAACGGATTGAAGTTGAAATCTCGGCCATAGCGCGTCGACCCGCAGCCGTGAAGACGGTTGAACTCTTTGAACCAGCAGTGAAGATTTTCGGCCATGCCGTCTTGCAAGAACTCCACTCCTGATTTTTAGGCGTTGAGCAGCTTGGCATCTTGACCTTTGAATCCTGAAGCTCAAGTCCTCGGACTCCCGAACCCTCTGCTCTCCGTCCCAGGCTATTCGGCCATTGCGCTTGGCACGTGGAAGCGCTGCCTTATCTTTAGCATCGTGGCTACACACAGAAGGCATTTGTCGGCTGGGAGAAGTCGTTTCGGGGGGGCGCACCTGGTTTGAGGTTTTCTCCTGCTTCCGGGATGCAGAGGTTTGAGGTCCAGGCTTGAAGATGCAAGCGTGGCTTCTCTTGCCTGCCGTTGAGTCGTGACGAAAACTGCAGGTCTAGTTGGAATTGCGCTGGCTTTGATCGCCTATGTGTACGCTCGCCTCTGCTGCCAGGCCCTACCTATGCCAATACCACCGCTTCACAGCAGTAAAGTGGTTACGACATCTCCGGCTGAAGCTTTTCGTTTTGAGCATTCACGGTAATCTCAATTCTGTTGTCAAGATTTGCTTGGTCGATGCAACGGATTCCCGCCGCGGTACCGCTGCTTCGTCGTGGTTCTTGAACGCATAGCAAGAAAGCTGGCTTCCTTGGAAATTTGCGACGGAATTAATTTGGTTGGGTGAGTTGCACTGTTTGTCATTGTCATGGGCTCTATTCGTGCAAGATTGGAGGAACCAACATTGATGCGCTGCTCTGAAGCATGACTGGAACCTTGCATGGGCCGGCATAGAGGTCTCTTGCATGTTTTGCCTTGCGGTCACACGCAGGCATGAAGCCCGCATTCTCTTCACCAGCCCTCATGTCGAATAAGATCCAAGATCCAAGCAGGAGGACGAGAGGAAGCACCACTTGGGGCCTTGCAGCCCGGAAGGAGATGAGCTGGACGCTATCCAAAACCTTTCCGGGGGTGCGGTATAGCTCGGGGGCAGGAACCTTCACTAGGACTCTGCTAATTTTTTGCACTTGGCGCTCAGCTTCTTGATGTGCTGCATTCTCGGCATTCCTCTGTGCTAGATTCCGTTTGCAGCACAGTCGCGCGACCTCAAACCAACCCTCGCAGGCCACCAGCACCAAGCCGTGTGTAGATCCAGCGTCCCTGCCAAGCAGGTCCATGTTTCTGCAGCGTAGGAGGCCGCATCAGGCCCAGTTGCACGCCGTGTCCGATGTGAAGCTCAGGAAAGCGTGGAATTCAGTGGTGAGAAGGTCGGTTACTGGGAAAGCTGGTCTCGGTGTCCGGGGCTGCACTTCCAAGATGCCAAATTTCGAGCCAGGTCGAGGGCCCCCCTCCAAGCAAAGGACACCGGCTGCTCATCCCCGTGCTCTCAAAATCCCACGGCCGAGTTTCTTGTCACAGTAAAGCCCCGGATCTGGTGCTCAGGTTCCTGAGCTGGATCCTTAGCGGCCAGTGGTGGTACGACATCAACGAAGCCTTGTCTTGAAACGTAGGATAAGGATTGAAAAGCTCAATGGTTGGGATGAATATACGAAGCAGTTGCTCAAGCTCGGCCCGTCCAAGAATTACATCAATTCAAAGGTCATGTTTCGTAAAGAGGAAGGCAGAGTAAGAGCTTGATCGGTAGTGGCAACAGCAGCAGCAACAACAACAGCATAGCATCAACGGCAACAGCGACACACAATGACAAGAACGATTATACTCGTAGTCGTGAAAAGCAACATCAGCACCTTTGCCGCCGGGTTCCTGCTACAGGAGGAGGAGGAGGGACGCAGGGAGTACGAGGGACCGGGATGAGGAGGAAAAGCAGGAGGAGGAGGTGCACGTGGGCATGGAGACGGACATGGAGAAGGACGAGAAAATCAAAGTCAAAAGTGACACTCAGAACTACAAAAAGAACAACAGGAACGACACATTGTGCAATACCTTTAACTAGAACTGCCAACGCCTCTTCCATTCGCTAAAGCACTCAGAGCTGTTCCACTGCCGATGCTTGCCTACGCAGCGCTGCTGCTGCTCCGCTACACCGGCTGCTCCGCTACTCACTACTCCTGCTTGCCCGTCTCACCACGGGCAGCACCCTCACAACACTCCCCACTCTCTCCACACTTTCCACTCTCAATACTCTCACAACCCTCCACGCCCTGCTCCTGCTGCTGCTTCTGTCGGGCGCATCGAGGGTAAGCGTCCGCGGCCCATTTGCGGATACGCAAACCTGAGCGCCAATTACCACACTCACCACTCTCATCATCCCTCTCGCCACACCTCTCACCACCCGCACTACCGTCACCACACTCGCCACATTCCTCACCACCTCAACCGCAGCCTCACCACATCCTCACCACCACTTGCTCTTCACTTCCTCACCTCTTCCTCACCACTTCTTTAACACTTGTGCACCACTTCCTCACCTCTTCCACTGAATGCTCCCAACCATTCTTACCACTCTGACCTTCCTCACCACTCTCACCACCATCACTCCTGCCTTCCACTCTCGCCACTCCCACCACTCCTTGGCCGCTCCGGCGCCACTTTCACCACCCCGGCCACCCCCCTCACTCACCCTCAGCACGCGCACGCTCACCACTATTGTATTGCTAGCGCTGCTGCTTTTGCTCTTGCTCATGCTACTGCTGTTGCTGCTGCTACTGTGGCAGCTGCTGCCATTGTCGACATTCTGTGTGATGTAGCCACAAGTCATCGCTGCTTCGACGACACCTCTTTTCTGAGGTTGAAAACAGTCTTCTTTTAGGCGATAGGTGAACTCTGGTCGCTGATTTTTCTGCGTGGTAGGTTTCGTTGGGGTCAGGGGTACGCGAAGAATATGATATGCACTCAAGGTGTTAGGTCTGCAAAGCTGAAAGCCTAAACCATCTGCCTACGGCTCTGGTCTTTGTGATTCCATGTCGTGGTGACCCCTGAAGTCGCAAGATCCCGAAAGCCAGCAGCGCCGCATCGCGGAGGATTGGTCTATTCCAGCAGATGAGGATTGCTGCTCCAGGGACAAGGCTCTGCTTCCGGGCTGCGCTGGGCAAGTGGGTGCTTTGGGTTTTCCATGCTTTCGGGATGACTTCACTAAATTCCGTCGTCCAGTGGCAGCCAGCGCAGCTTTTGTCTTCGCAAGATTAGACCTGCGTCTGTTTCAGGTGGTGGTGCACAATCGCTCTTTGAAGCTGATCAAAGATCCTCGGACTTGGAATTGGACATGTCTGTGGCACCCCAGGAGCCTGTGAAAGATCGCCCCCTTGCGCTTGCAACGTGCCCAAGCCTGCGAGTTTCGAACCCACAACAAGGTTTGCCTTTACTCTTCCCGCGATGTGGTTTGCTGGGTGCCGGTGGGCGGCATCGCTGGAAGCTGTGTGGGGTTCATCCGTGCAGGCAGCTGTTGCAGTGCTTGTGTGACTGGAAAAGCGGGCAGCCCAAGCTCGAAGAAGTAAGTCCAATTTCATGCTGTTTAGCAGCAAAAAAAAAGCTACCGGTTCGGGTCCGGGGCCCAGGGTTTGAAACCCTGGCACAAGCGATTTGTTACCAGTCCCAGTGTCCGGCCATGAGATGTCGCTTCGACCCGGAAGCTTCCTTCCTGAATCGAACCGTCGAGCCGTTTCCGCATTCCCGTGAAGGACTCCGACCCACGCGTTTGGCCCCTGCCGATTTAAGGGCATGATTAGCCCTGGAGGCGAGAAGCGGGCCTTCACGCTCCCTCGGCCCTGGCGCCAAAAGGCCGAGAGCAACGACCAGTTCCGTCTGAAGGCGCGGAGAAGGGCCGAGAATTGAAGGTCTGGGAAGGCTCGGGGTTTGCATGTTGAGGGCTTCGGGGGATTTTTGGGGTCATGGGGGCTTGGCACTGCAAGCGAAGTCTTGGTGCAGTCGGAGGCTTTTGGCGTCAGCGGGGAGATCTCCGCTGGCCTGGGGAGCTTTAGTTCTTCCGGGATGTGGCCTTTACCATCTGCATCGTTCGGCCAAAAAACCTCTTTATGGATCAATCACTCAGCATTGGGCCCAGGTTCAAGAGCTAAGATCTCTGCCCATCTTGGGGAGCAATGTCGAGCAGGTTTCATACGTAAGGGCCGGCGCCTAATTGCAGATGGTCCAGGTCTAAATGCCTGCGTGATCAAACTTTCCAGCTTTGCGGATGTCTGCTGCGGCCTCTGGTTTTCCGTGGTGGTGGCGACCATTTCTCCCCTGAGCTGTCTGCCCATTACACTGCAACACCCCGAACTCTCAAAACGCACGCCTTGAACAGCAAGCAAGCTCAAGCCTCCAGGTTTTCATGCCCGGTCTGCTCGACAAGGACGGTCTCGCTTGAACGTTGCAGAAGTACTCAGTGCAGCGGGAACATGTTGGCGATGTTGGACAGGTGCGATGGATATAGACTCCGAGCAGAGATCAGTTTAGATCTTCGCCCCTTCAACCTCAGCCCTCCCACGCACCGCACCGTGCCGCGCTGGCACCAGCGCTTTCGCCGTCATGCCCCGTTCCCTAGCCGCCCACCGTTGCCACTTGTCTTTTTGCTGTGCTTGTTGTCTGTTGCGACCGGCAAGATTCTCTTTCCGTGCTCCGGTTGCCGCACTTTCGCGCACCACAAACTCGACGTGCTCTCATTGGATCTGCCTGCCGAGGAGCTCGCCTATTACCCTGTGGCAAAGCGAGGTCAGTGGCCCGGCAGTCTGGAAAACCACAGGTTAAGGGTTTAACCTGATGTGTGGCGCGCGGCTTGAGCGACCGGCAGGGGTTTCGAGGGTTCGCCTCTGCTTGGCCGCACGTTCTGGGCAGAGGGCCCCTGCAAAAAAGTGTCTCTAAGGTTTTAAGCTTGGCTTAGTTACAGGACTCGCAGTTCAAAGCTGGTAGTTCGGGCAGCTGCGAAGTCTTTGCAACTTTTGCACCCGCAAGCAGCTAGCTGCTGGCAGTTGTCATAGAGTCGAGGGTATCTCATAGTTCTATGAGCTAATCAAGTCGTAAGCGTCGCCAAGGTATTTCGCTTTCGTGGATGTCGAGGCTGGATTTGGTCAACACCTTCCATGACCGCAGAATCTAGGACGGCCTTGTACCCCAGCTGCGCAACCCCAAACTAGATACGAGCTCCCTCCTGAAGTTGTGAGACTGACAGCAAGGGCGTCGTGCGGCGGAGCCGCTTCCTCTCCTCGTCGCTGGCGCCCTTCGCCGCGCCACCACTGCCTTCGAACACCGAGAGCTCCGAAGAGGAGTTGAGAAAGACCAGTGTTGGGGTCTGCTTGAGCGTTGCTGCAGCAGAAGCTCCCGGGCAAAGATTGATGCAGGCAGAAAAGCTACGCAGGGATCAGAGGAGCTAGAGTAGCTAGAGCCAGATGGTCACTCCACCACCACTTTCTCACAGGAGTACGTGGCGGCGGCGAAAGCCATGCGGAAGGACTTCTGCTTTTCCCAACATCTGCATGCTTGAGCAGCACCATTGGTTCTGGAATGCTGGACGCCAGTAGTCCTTGTAAGTCCAGCCCTCCGAAATCTTCAGCTGTGCTTTGGCAGGATTCGAAATTCGAGTCCCTGACGGGGCTGATGCGGAAGCGTAGCAGCTCGGGGCTAAGTGGGTGACATTGAGCAGCTATCTTTTCGGTTCGTCTGGTTGACACCGGGGTTTGGATGATCTCAAGATTCACAGGCCATAGTTACAGTGTGAGCTTTCGATTGCTGCCCGATCTTGAGGCAGCAACTCACTGCAGCTCTTGAGCCAGAGTCCGGGTCCGGACGAGGCAGGTTCTGAGTTGAACGGACTGTTGATGATGCTTTTCAGTGCTTCTTGCCGGGAGGCTTCGGGGTTAGAAAGTTGCGACCGGCCCCGTTCATGCCATTGACACGAGTGTAGGTGTCAGGAAAGGAATTTATGCAAAGACCAGAAGCATCGAGCGTTGCCCGCGGGTGCGAATTGTCGGCGACCCAAGTACTAAGATGTACTAAGTGCGCGCAGCCATTGCGCCCCCTTCTCCGAGCTGGCGCAGGCGACTGAGGCGAGAAGGACTATCCACCGAGCCTGCTCCCTTGCAGCACTGGTTGTTGCAAAGACATCACTCTGCGCCTCGATACAGAGAACTCCATCAAATGGGACGAGGAAATCGAGGATGGCAAGCAGATGGTGGGCAGCAAAAACCCTCGCAAGAGTCATCGTGTCAGTGTCAGCCTGGCAGAGCCCGTGCACAAGAACTTACACGGACCCAAGACAGAACTCCTTCCCGACAACAAGGTCAAGATCCCTACGGTAGCGACGTGGAATACAGTCTGCTGGATAAGTCAGGCATATCCAAAAAGCGTTGAATGCTGAAGTCCGGATTCGGACAGCCAAAGCATAGAGTGCACCAGCTACGGGGAAATGGACAGGCTTGTCAATATCTCTGGACGGTCCATGTCGTGCGGCGCATGGGCCGCTTCTGGGTCCTCCAGTGGTCATTGGGCGTGGTCATGTCCACGCAGCGCAGAAGCTCAAGCAGCTTTGCCTTTCAATTTGTAGATCGTGCGAGTCCCAAGCTCGGTGAAGAGGGACCCATCTGTTTGTCCCATTCTCGTGCGCGAAGGTCTCTGTGAATGTTGAATGAAGAAGCCTACTTCTCGACTTGACGTAAGAGGACAGTCGCCAGGATGGCCGATGGAAAGCCGTCAAGCAGAGCCAATTCGGACCAGTAAGGCTTGGGAGTTCAGTCGACCGCACAATGCCCGCACGGAAGCCTCGGCCTCCCCGTGAGTCACATTTTCTCGGCAGCAAGCCATGTGCTTGTGTACAAGTCATGTGGCACTGCGCGAGGCTTTGCACGATCGATGCTTTCAAAGACCCATGGGGCCTTGACCGTTTTTTCTTCCACACGTTAGCGTGGAAAACAATGGGCCACAACCGTGTGGACCCGGAGAAACTGAGACCTCCTAGTGAGTGTGAGGGCAGAAGCTTTTTCGGGCTGAAGAGCATATTGCTCTAAGTGTTGACAATTTGGGGCTGGGAGTGTTCGTTTCATGAAGTCCTAGGCCGGCACCGAATCCCAAAGGCCGAACGGTTCGATCTCGTCTGAGTCGCAGGTTGCCGGGAGCTCGCGAAAAGCGGCGCCGGACGAGCTCCTTGATGTGTTTCAGCAGTGGTTGCATCTTGCTGACTCAGAGTGTCAAGCCGGCGAAACTTTGCAGAACAACTTCATCTCATATACACTGGATGGAGCTCCGGGCCCCAAGCGCTACAAGTCTTTCTGAATACCTCGTGCAAGCCCTGAAACACCTGTAAAGTCCTAATGCAAGTCGGCGCAGGAAGTGCAGCAAAAAGGCGATAAAACTTGCATGATGCCGGCGCCAGATTGTCTGCTGTTCCACATCCAAGGATCGTTATCCGGAATCGCAGCAGTCACGATGTTCGAGCGATGTTGTCGCCCAGCTTCACGAAGAGCTGTGAGACTTAATGTCCGAGAGAGCTCCCTCCGCAGGAGCGGGGTTGTGTCAAATTCCAAACTGAACTTGCAAGCCCTTTCCAGCATTGTGCAGTATATCAATGACCAGTTTCAATCCACTGGCTATGTGATACAATTTGAAGTCGTGCCTGATGCATTTGTGGCGCGTCCCGTCCAAGTCATCTTTCAGTGATACCAAGTCCTTCGTTTCATGCCCGTGCGATCGTCATCTGTGCTGGCATTCACCAAGTCCACTGCTTCAGAAAAACTTGCATTTCGTTCCGTTTGTAGGACGGCACACAGTGTCCTTCGTTGGTTCAAACGGACGGCACAACGCTCGGACATTTGGGTCTGAATCCTGGGCCATAGGCACTAGAAGCCTATAGTTTTTCGAAACGATACAGTCGAGTCCGACGCCAAGCAGCCTCGCACTGTGCACCTGGGGGGCTCACAACAACTCGGAGAGCGTGGAGGGAGAAGGGATGCAACCAGCACGGCAATCTGCGCGCCGTGGCCACATATCAAAGGTGGACACCTATTCCTCACAGAAATCCGGTGCCAGAAACATGTCTGCACGGACCCTCAGACACGACCTCAACTATCAGCAGCCCCTACCCCCAAAAAGCAGCCCTAGTGGCCCCAAATTCTCTCAGCGAAGGTTCAGACCCAACGACTACTGCTGCATGATACCACTGGTGGGAAAGCTCCTTGGCGTGGCCTTGTAGGCAGTTCTGGCCCGAGCTTTGTCCTGAACCGAACCTTTATTGTCTAAAGGCATGTGCCAGGACGGGCCATTCAGCAACGACCCCCAGCCAAATAGCCGTGCCACAAACTGCTAAGGCTCACGGCATGCGGTGATTGCATTCTGCAAGGACGCCGACGTGACTGATCTTCTGGTCTAGCAGTTGTCTCTTCTTGTGTGTACGGCATGCGCGAATTCCATGATCCGTGGCATCTCAAAACCTCATGTCGCCTCAAAATCCCAGGTATCAGTCTGAGACCCCCTCAGCAACTCTGACCTCAAACTGTCAAAAGTGAATAAAGTGACTGGTTGTCCTACACGAGGGCTGTACATAGAACAGGCTGCACGGCATTCCTTTGAACATATCATATTGCATTTGGTTTGCACCACTAGTGCCGAAAGGAGAAGAGCGCCGATTCACGCCTCTGGCGCATTCCCCCGAATTCACTCTCAAGGCATCCGACGTTGTTCGGCCGGGATTTGTATGTTTAGGGGCTTAGGCATGGGGGGTTGGGGTTACGCATATGGCTTGGGGCGATTTTTTGCCTCGGCCTTCCAAGAGTTCCCGGCAAGTGGTACACATGCAGATACTTTAAATCCGGAGGTCGAATCGAGGGTCAAGAAAGTCTCTACTGTTCGAGATCCGTAGGATGACGAGTCTTCCAGACCTTGCGGCTTGTTGAAAGACGGACCACTTCAGATCTTTGGGCCATGTTGAGCCAGGACTTCTCTGTGAGGCATCGCCCCAAGAATTTCAATGACATTGCTGAGCTTGAGTCTCCAGCCATGGAGACCTGATGGTTTCACAGGCTTGAACCATCAAAACAACAAAGCCTAGCTCGACAGCTCTATTGACCTCCTGTAAGCCATCTCTGCCAAACCCACGGCTGTTTCATGGCGACGAACGTTCTAAGGATGGTCGTAAGCCCCCTGTCACAATATCGTTTCGTTGTTCTGTTCTCCTGGCAGGTGTATTCCGTGGGGCCTGCTGCCAAGGAGCTCACGTACCTCACCGTCTCCCGCCCGGGGCCCCATGCTGTATACTCTGAGGCAGGGAACCAGACAAGGTCCGGGTTCGCGCCACGTCCGTACATACTCCGACGGAAGCTGAAGCATTGAACAAGTAAGCTTTGGCTTGGTGGCATTCTGCATTGGTCCCGGAAGCTAAGGTGGAAACGCTTATACCTTTTGTGATTCTCTTCTGTCCTAGCGGCGGCTGCACTGTCGCGAGGGGCCGTGCGTGAATTGGCACAGCTTTCCCCGACATGTTTCAAAGACAGCCGTACTGTAGTGGATGACAATTGTTTCGAGTCCTGGACCTCAAGCTGCGTTTAAGGCTTTTCAAAAGAGGCAGGCGCTTGTTTAGAATGCGATAACTGGCTCCCTCCTTCCAGTTGGCCTTGAGCTGCAGTAGAATTTGGAGGCCTACATGTGGGTCGTGTCTCAGCGGTTTCCGGGGCGAAGGCACGCCAGTCGCCTCTCACAACCCCGTGTGTTCATCGGATGGCGTATGTGTCAGGCGTGCCCTCAGAGATTTCGAGAAACAACCCCAGTCTTGCCAGATATTGCGGGGAGGAGGGGCAGTGCGCATGGTTTTCCGCTGTGGCGATTTCGCCCCTCTGTGCCGCCTCCTCCCCCTTTCGCGGCTTGGCCACGGAGTCCTAAGGCGGCCCACAACGAGCGAGCAAGGCATGGCAGAAGATTTCTAGAAAGGTCGGAAGTAATTATCAATTCGGTTTACAGGATCAGAAGGCAGCCAACCAGCCGCAGCAGAGATCGCCCTCAGCGGGGGACTGCTCAAAATATACTAGGCTGCCAGTCTGCTTTTCCTTTGGAGCTGCATTTTCAGCTTCCTAGGCCCTTCAATGTCCGTTTTCACCTCAAAGGTGTTGTTTTGTTATTGTCCCCACCCTCGATATCCCATCTTGGGCTAGAGCTACGGCAGCTACGGCTTTGTTGCTTTTGAGTTGTCCCCTTCCACAAGGCAACCTGCCTCTCAACTGCATTTGCTGGAATGAGTTTCTTCCATCTGCTTCCGGACAGAGAGGCCCTTGCTGTGGCCAGGTGCAATAAAGCTTTGCAAGTCAGATCCAAAAAACCAACACGGAATGTAGGAAAGTTTGAACATGGCAGCCTCTAGTCACTAGATGTGACAGGCGGTTGTATGAAAGCAGAGACGTAGAGTCCAGTCAGGTCTCTGTAGTCCTTGAAATTACACCTCAGTCAGATCCTCAGCCAACACTCAACACCCACAAGGTCGAAATCTCATGTAGTGAGAATTGTACCGAAGATCCACCAACCAAGCTGGACACGGCAAGGCTACAGCACCTATTTAGACGGGTGCCCGTAATTCGAGCGAGGGGTGTGGCCGAGTAGAAACAGTGTGTTGTTTTGGTTTGACGGTCTAGGCTAAAGCCCTTTCTACATTTAGATCCAGTAACTTAAGGTAGGAATTTGCCCCGAACTGCAAGGCGGACGACCTTCGGCACCCGTGCCCAGAATATGCTTACCAAGTGGTGTCAGAAGCAGAGAAGACAGAGAAGACAGAGAGAGAGAGAGAGAGTAGCAGAGTGCTGAAATAGACTCTGTCATCCGCCCGTTGGTTCCTGACCCTTGTAAGAGAACGGTTCGCCGTTCAGCCCTTCGAAGGCGAGAGACGCAGGGAGGAAGACTTGGTCTCTTGCAGGCTGAGGAAGCAGAGGAACGCCATGTAAATCAGCAGCTACGCGCGAATCAGCAAGTGGGAATCAGCAAGCGTGAATCAGAGTCCACCGAAACAGCAACTAAATCCCCCACATCAACACCTACGATCCCCGCGTCGGTAACTGAAATCCCCGCGCCAGCAAGCAAGGCTGCTGGTCCCAAGCATGTTTCCTGGAAATCCGACGCCTCCTTGAAACGACGGCGATTGATCCCAGCCGGCACAGCTTTTCCAAATCCGACCCCTCCGGAAGGAGATGGCGGTTAAGACCAGGACCTTAGCGACGGTGGTTATCATGAATACATACGAATGCAGGTAGTGCTGGATACTGAAACGACTCTGTAATAGCAGGCGTCGTCGTAGCAGTCGTAGTTGTCGTAGTCGTAGTCATCGTAGTCGTAGTAGTCACGACCGTAGCCGTAGCCGTAGCCATAGCAGTGGGCCTGTGCAGTCGGAGCAGTAGGATCGGCAGTAGTAGTAGTAGTAGTAGTAGTAGTAGTAGTAGTAGTAATAGTAGTAGTAGTAGTAGTAGCAGAAGTAGAAGTAGAAGTAGAAGTAGAAGTAGAAGAACAAGAAGGAGAAGTGGTGGTAGTGGTAGTGGAAGTGGTAGTGGTAGCGGTAGTCGGATTGGCAGTGGCAGTGGCAGTGGCAGTGGCAGTGGCAGTGGCAGTGGCAGCAGTAGTGGTAGTAGTGGTAAGCAGGTTTTTTTTGGTTTGAATCTAGTTTCAGATTGGTTGACTGAATAGGGTTCTTGGTTGCCGATGTAGCGTGCGTTGAAGATACAGCTGTTCTTGGCTGCCGATTAAATTGCCGAGTCAGCGGTTTGTATACTGCTGCAAAGCCCTAGCAGCAGGACCACTGCAAAAACTTGGTCTGGCAAAGAAGGGAGAGCCCCGGAACGTGTCCACATGATGGGAAGGAAGAACACGTCAGAAACGAATGAGGCGGGTGCCGGCAATAATTCATTCTCACTTCCGAACACCTAATGCGCTACACATAAATGACCCAGGCTTACAACCCTAAACCAAAGTAAGCAAGAGAGAAATAGAAAAGGTTTTCATTTTGCCACGTTCGTGACAGCATCACTTCATCCCGAAGGCCCAGAGACTCAGCACTTGGGCTTAAGGCCATGAGAGCTTCTCTCGCCCCATTGGGGAAGCGAGAGGCTGAAAGGGCGAGCCCCGGCGCAAGAAATAAAGGAAAGCAGAAGCGAGGAGAATACATGAAAGGAGAAGACAAGAGACAAAACATGTAGATAAGGAGAGAAGCAAGAAAGACTCTAGAGATAGGAGACGACATGCGAAGACAAGAGACGAGAAAGGAATACATGTGATGCGAGTACAGAGAAGCCTGCCGGCATGGTAACAGTATGAGCCAGTTGCCATAGCATACTTGGAGTGTCTGCCTATTGGGAAGGCCTTCCCATCCTTGCAGATTGGGAGCCGCATGGGTGTCTCGATATGTTGTAAGCCCCAGTACCTGGAAACCAAGCCCCCACCGAGGCATGTTTAGCGATAGCTGTGGATTCTGAGCTCTCTAAGTTCGGAGTCCGTGTTCGGATACTTCTTTAGTCTCGTCGCCTTGTAGGGGCCAGGAATATCGAGACTTGCCTGCGACTGTGAAGACATGGGCAGCCGGGAGCTGTTTGCAGGCAGTTCTGGCAGGCCTTTTGCAGAGGAGCAGAACTGGGTAACCAGACAGGGTGCAAACCCAGCTCCTAAAGCAGGCCAGTATGTCTTGCAGTGGCGTCTTGCCGGTTGAGCGCCTTCGAGGGCCCTATCCAGCCATGCGATTGCATGCTCCTGCGATGCCTTCGTGTTTGTGATCAAGAAACAAGAAGGATGCCTTCAACTTGACTTTGGTTCGCCCGAGTAGTCGCACAAGGTACAAACATGTCGTAGTGGCTGTGAACCGGGGCAGCTGGTCGGAGACGCTCCCCAACGCTGAAGCTCTTGTGGATTGAGCTTCAGTGTGCTGCGTGCAGGTGCTGGCACCAGGGCTGCGCTCTGTGGCTGTTTCTAGCTGGTATATACTTTGGGCGGAAGTCATTCGATAGACGGCAGCTATTGGGATCATGGTCGAGCGATCCTTTTCCCGTGGCGCCTGCCTCAACCGAAGGCTTGTTGCGCACGGGCATAGGTTTTTCGGTATGGGCAGCATTGCATGTCAAAGTCTACAAAGCCCAGGTGCCCATAAGGCCTGCTCGTAAGCACGGTCCGCCACGACTACATTCTGCAAGAGCAGGCTGAAGAGAAGGTGTTTACAAAGTCGGCTCGGGCCCGTCCTGCAACTTCCCAGCTGCTAGTACTCTTTCTGGCCTTCCTGGTTGTTACTGTTGCAAGCAAGCTTTTTGATGGTCGAACATGTGAAGTTGGTAACTCCAGGGTCAAGCCAGAGTTCCGCTGTGGCTTGCGTATCGTACCTCTTGAATCGCACCTGTGAGCCTGAGCCTGCCGAGTCTCACCTTCGGATTTTCGTGCGGCAAGGCACAGATTTACGACAGCAGAAACGTACAGAAAGGACACGCGACGGTGCTTTTGGGGATCGCGGACACATGCCCTTGTTCTTTTGGAGGGCTCAGCCCCGAGAGCCGACGAGAGTGCAGCCCTAGCGCAAAGTCTAGGATTCGGTTGGGCCTTTTAAGTGGTCCGAAGTCACGGACTCGTTGCCTGTGTTTCCAGCCCTGCCCAGCCACGCGTTCGTGCAGCCCGCAATCGGGGCAACCGCGGTCACCAAAGGTGCTCAGTGAGATCTTGGACAGGCTGACGACCATCATCAGGCTGCAGGGGCTAGCCACTGTGTATCTTTCAGGGTTTGCTTGGAGTTGTTCAGGGTCTGTGTTTTTCTTGCAAACTTCTCGGCCTTCGACGGCAGTCCATGTCGCTACTGAGGACAATGGAATCGGCCAACCTGAAGTGAACCACGGAAGACTGGGTTTGGAATCCTGAAATGCGAAACAAGAAGACCTGAACCCTTTGTGCTTCTACCGTCTACCTGAGGTGTAGGAGTGTGGGTCGGAGCGACTTGGACCATCGAGCTCCAGGTACTATTGCGAGGTATGCTGTCTGAGAGCCTGCAGTAGGCCCAACCGCGTGCATCTCGACTTTGGCTTCGTTTCCCAAGCCTCTTGTCGTTTGTTCCGCAATGTGCGAAGGACGACCCGCGCCTGGATGCGGTCGTAAACGGGACAACGGGAAAAAGGGATCTAGGGCCCCAAGGCCTCAGCTCGACGTCTATAGCTCCGCCGCGGGTTGGACAATGTTGGGTTTAGGCCCAATGCTGGGTGCTTGTTTTTGCGGGTGGGTCGAAACCTCTCTTTTGGGAGACCAGGGATCAGGGCGGGAAGAACCCATTTTGTGGAAAAGCACTCGCTGACTTCTTCAAACTCATCCCGATTGAGGCAGATCCACGTGCGAGACGGCACAGCAAAGGCCAGTTTGGAACCGGCGGGTGCGGGATGCAGGCTTGATGCCAAGGCTCCTTCGGACAACGGTTTCGGTTAGTTCAGTGGGTGCACAAGCTTTTGTGGGGCCTGCCGAAGCTTTTGGTGCCTTTGAAGGCAGCCTACACACCATCTCGAGACACCGAAAACCCTCTCTTTGCATTTCAGGCTGTCAGCGTGGGCATTTTGATCAGCAACACCTTTTGGCCGGTCATTCGGCAGTGCCTGGCCGGAGCCTCACATGAGAAAAACTTGACCGGAAGAGCCCGCCCTGCTAGATTCTCGAGAAATTCTACATTTCTAGCCACTGTCACGCTCGCTTGTGGCTCCAGCGACCACGTCTGTGGCGAATCCTCTGCCTCCCGAGGCACAGCATCCCGGTGATTCCAAGCTCGTCGAGAAAAGCTGTCGGCTGCTGAAGCACTCCATGCGCTGTGCACCTGGGCCGGAAGTTCGCTCAAAACCTTTGATGACTTTGGGGGATTTTTATTTAGTCAGTGTCTCATTTCAGTCACGTTCAAACCTGCAGGTTGTGTTGCAGACCAGCAATTGTCGGAAACCAGACATCCCTTCCCAAGTTGCGATGCCTTCCGATGCCCGATCCCCCACGGCGCCTTCAGACCCCGGAGATGGAGAGTTCTGAGACCCACATGAACGAAATTTGGGATCAGGTGCCTGACCTTTTCAAGCCCAACGTTCCAGACGTGGCACGTACACTTGTCACGGCCTTCCAGCAGCTTGAGCCTCAGGCGGTTGCAACTGTAGCTTTTAGCTTTGGGTCGCCTTAACTAATTCTTGCTCCTTTGGTGGCTTTTAGGATTCGGCAGGTCTTGCTCGAGGGTCGAGACTATGAACATCTATTGAATTTGCTGCCGAAGGCTTGGGGTTTGAGTCAAAAGGTGTCGAGGTACCGAACCTGGGCGGAAGTTCAAAGGACACATCTAACTGCATGAAGCAGCGACGACGGGCTATGTTGCGCCGATGCCCGCAGCCGTTCAGGCCCGGCTCCCGAGCTCCAGGCCAGGCTGCGTTACTTTTATTAGCCTTCCATGTCGCCTCGTTCCACGAGGATTTTTCACTTATTGTGGGCTGCCACAGCTTTGCGGCCTTCGGACTTGCCGGGGAATCGTCTTGCTGTGGTCAACAACTTTGCCCATGCCAAGCAGCTGGACCTTGGGGGAAACAAGGGGAAGCGAAAGTGAAGCACATTCTTGACAAGCACCCCGAACTCCCAAACCCATATCCTAAAACATGGCAATAACGTATTGCTCTGACAAGCCAGACGGCAGACTTGAACACACACTGACGACCCAAGCCCCGCTTCTGAACACATCTGACCCAGGAAGCCTTGAGCACTCAGATTGTCAGGGAAGTGAGCAGTTCTTGTGCTGAAACCGACAGGACTGGCTGAGAGACTTTCCAAAGAATGAGGCATCTCAGCTTCATGAAGCTACAAAGCTTTGGAAATTTGGCTCTACACGATAGTTCATGGGTGTTTGGCGTTCGCGAGGTCGGACTGTTAGCACCATGTGGCTTTAAGGGTTGCGAATGACCCCATCTGATGTTGGCCTGCGCCAGTTTCTTCCTTTGGCCACATCCTTCGGAAGCTTCAAGATCCCCGAAACCATCGAACCTTCGCTGGAAACCCTTGAAAGTCGAAACCGCCCTCGAACCGCCCCCGAACCGAGTCAAGCCCTGACCGGCGAACTTGGAGCCCGTCTGCAGCCCAGGTCGGAGTTGACAGCCCACGAGGCATAGGTGAATCGCGGCCGTGGCTGCAGTGGATCGTGGACCACTACGACGCACGGCTTCAGGGTCTTCGTTTCACGAGCAACCCGGGTCCAGAAGCATGTGAGCTGGTGGTCGGGTCATGTGGGGTCTCTTCATGTAGGAGAGGTTAGCAGGCCTGGTAGATTGTCACTGATGCCAAACGTGTGTGAATCGCGGACGACGGTGTCCGACTTAAGAGTTTAACATTGTGCCCTAGGTTCTGCAGCTTCTTACCGCCCGGGTAGCCTGCCCAGCTGAAGCTGGACGGACTAGGATCGCCCAGCAAGGACACATTACCAGAAGTTGTCGTCTTCCTCCACGGAGACGAGACCGCTTGGCATCACGAGCATCCGATGGACCTCAAGTTCCTGAGAACGCACACGCCTAGGAATGTGACCATGCTTTCCGACAAGAACTGTGTCTGGAGAGCGGATCTTCCGCGGAGGGTGCCAGACGAGCTGCCTGGCCTGGATCTCCTTTATGGAGCCTTTTGGAGCATCAGCTTTCAGCAAGACCCTTGGCGAAATTGACTTCAATTTAAGCCGCAAGAAGGCCTAAACTTTTCAGCCGCCCCCACGAGTCTGTGAGAGGCTTTCGAGCGCTTTCATATGGCGGAGAAATTCATTTGCTGCTCCGAGAATATGGTTAGCCGCGAGGCCATCCGCCGTTTCAGCAAGCCTGTGTACCAGCAGCCCCTGGGCTGCCATTTTAGAAGCTAAGCATGCTCATCGCCCTTCACCTTGAAGCTGCAGCTGATCACGATGTTTCGAACTGTAAACTTCACTGTAAAGCATCTGATGCCGATGTCGGTATCTGGACTGCGCACCCCGACATGCAATCATCCCTGCTAAGCCGGAAAGGCTGTGAGAGCCCTAACGCCCTTCAGAATACCAACGAGAAAGCTGATGTTGAATCCAGCAGTAGGCTCCTGCAGACTATGGACGACCATAGCCAGTGGAGATGGGGATGGATCATGGAGAGGTCTTGGCAGAACTTGTGGAGCGCTCCAACCCCTCTCCCTGATGCGGAGATCATTCAGCGGCTGAAGAAGACGCAGACTCCGAACTCTTTCTTGGTCTTGCGCAAAAACGATGACAGCCCCAGTGCCACCTCATCAGTGCAAGCGGTCTTGAAAGCTGCCGCGCGGTGTGGGGATCCGATGTAGGGGGTGCCCTGCCCATCCAATCAGAACTGTCTCCGATGAGTGCGAATTTTCAGATGCCGGAGAACTGCGCAAGCCTGGCTAAAAACTCGAGCGGCCTTGATTCGGTTGAAGTGGTTATACTGGCGAGCGCATTGCCCGGCTTTCCAGCAATGCCTGCAGTAGGTCGGCAGAGGCTCATGGCAGCGAGGATCAAGGGTTGTCGGGCTCGGCCACCAGCCTACGGTAAGGAGGAATCGCAGGCTCTGTCGCTCCCAGACGGAAGTTCTGAGGAAATGACACATCACGATCCTTCTCATTAGAATTGGATGTGAGTGCTTCGATGTTCATGAACTTTAGGCGGCTTTAGTTCTCGGCTGGCCTAAGTTATCTGTCTTTGTTTTGATTGAGCCAGAGGCATCAGCACTCCTCGTACCTGTACTCGGCGGAAATCTTGGCGAACACCTACGCCTTCGGTGCATGTTTGTAGGTGATTTGCTGTCTGGACCAACAGGCAGCATTAGCACCCAGGACCCACTCGAGTAGTCGAGACCTTATATTGAGAGCGCTGTACAGCGAAGCCACCAGCAGCCATGCAAGAGAGATAGAAGTTTTGTCAAGCAGAGCAAACAGCAAACCATCCGAGCAGCTTTGGCGAGGATCTCACAGAAACAGCACAGTCTGCCCTGCAGCATGTAGCACGGTATCGGTTGTATGCCAGAGTGCAACACTGCCTCAGCCCACAAAAGAAGCAGCCTATCGTTGTGCTTTTGTGCGAACCCGGGGTCCTAACAGCTCAAAATGCCTGGCGGGGGTAACTCCCCACGCAACTTGGGGATCGCAGGACGGACGCGACAGGACCCTATGTCCAGCATCTTGGTCAAGATGTCAAGCTTTGACATCCCATGGTCGAACTCCGAACGCCTGAAGCCCTGACCCCTTTGCGGCTCGCAGTGTCCTAAATTTGATAGTGTGCAGCAAAACAGTTGGCAGAAACTTGAGCTGTCAATCCATTGCCTTTGTGTCTAAGGGGAAATCCAAACGCTCAGAGTCTTTGTCGAAACGTCTCGCCAGGCCAGCGACCCCGAGATTGTCCCGGTGCTAACCGAGCTCTTCAATCAGCTCAGCGGCATTGGACTGCAGTAGGGGCCCTAAGCTGGCTTGGGAATCCAGCGATTTTCGACGGTGTAGATGGGCTCTCGCGGGTGTTCTTTCGGGTTTGAGCTTTTCAGGTTTATGACGTTTCGGCTGCATGTTCCATGTGGTTCTTCTGTCTGAGACAAGCAGGCGGCTGGCCAGCCATGCTAGCCCTTCGCTTGCATCCGCGGCAATGAGGCCCCCAACAGTAATTACGCCAATATGCGAAGCCGAGTCAGCATCGGCACCAGAACTGCCATACTCCTGCAATGCCGAGGTGCCTTATAGCTTCAGAGAGCAAGCTGGAGGAAAGCCTGCTGCTGCGGCGGAGATTCCACTTTGAAGTAGACAATTGAAGTTCGTCGCAGGACGCACAAGACAGACTGGTTTTGTGCTGCACGGGTACATGCAAATCTGAGTCGCGATGCGGATGCGACGGGACAGAATTGAGCCGCTTAATTGTTACGCAGCTTGATGACAAAGCCTTCCCAAAATCTGAACGCTTTGTTCACCAGCCGCATGCCAAGAACACGCGGTCCAATGCAGGAGATAACAGAGCTTGTTGAGGACTTCTTCGGCATGTTTGAGCGGTGCGCCGTTGCCCCGATGATTCCGACGCCTGTGATTCATGTTTAGCAAGAGAGTATTGAAAGTTGTCTTCCGTCGTGTTGTTCAACTTGTCGCCAGCTGCCAAAAACCCTCGACCTGGGAACTTGAACCGAGCGAGAGGGGGGACACGATGCTACAATGCGGCAGCAGGGTTTAGACTTTGGACCCTGAGCCGCTGCATGGAAGGTACTTGCGCTTTGCGCCTACAATTGTTATAAATGTCTGGGGCCCCAGCCAGGATTCTGGGGAAATGGTCCAGGGCAGGTGAGTGGGCAGAGTCTAGCTTAACTTCTTCTTGTCTATTTTTTCACACATACTGGCTGAAGTTTTGAGGGTCTTCCTCGGGAGTGAGCTAAAGGGTGCCGAGTTGAGAGTTTCAGTCTCGTGAGACCCGAAAAGCTTGGTCTGAGAGTCTGTGCAGTCCAAGACTCGCATCAGTTTCAAAGGCCCGGCTCCCAGCTTGAAATCCAGATCTATAGGTCTACACGGTGCGTCGTTGTGGCCCCTTTTCTTTGCAGATTTGCGTTCCTTTGAAGCTGAGGCCCCGACGCTTCTGCCGACTCTCCGACTGTGGACTTCTGTCTGCAGTCAGTGGCCCTCAGAGGCTAAAGGCATCTATGCAGCGTTGACAAGTAATGCGTGCCTGAGTTCGTAGCAAACCGAACTGGGTTAGAAGACGTAAACTTCTAACACCGCGGCCAGCACAGGCCACACCGCTGTTTTAAGCTGGTGACCTGGCTCCACACTTGTGTTTGGGTGAACCTTTCGTGTGCTTATAGAGTCGTAGAGCCGCGGCAAACCGAGACCAGTGGGAAGTGAGGGGAAGCGTGCAACCGCATGCAACCGCGTAAATGAATGCCGCCTATACTGATAAACGTTTGTTTGACTGAGGAGCGTCGTGATTTTTGTGCAGCAGAAGGAAGCCGTCGAGGTCGCGTTTTCGATAGGGAGTGGGCTCTGGCACATTCAGGCACGCAAAAGGAAAGGAGAAGTCTCAAGACATATTGACGGTTGTTTAATTGTTTCAAACGAGAGAGAATGTAGCCCACCTCCCCCGGAGTGTCCGAGTTGCGTGAGTCCAAAGGAGCGAGAATCGAAACTCTAAATGGAGGCCTCGAGGATTCAAGGCCAAGAAGCATGCCTCCGATTGATCGTCATCGCTGAGTCATACATTATCAGACCTTTATGTACATCGGCTCTCGTGGGATTGTAGTCCTAGGTTGATATACTGTCAACCAAAGCTCAGACTCCTAAAGTTTGGATGCTTCGACTGTTCCATTCCTGCCTTGTTCTTTTATTCACAAAATGCCGAGTGTCAATCTTCTGAGCTCGGTGAGTCTGAGTCAAGAGGGTTTGTCCTAGTTCCCTGCAGCTCCACTGTTGCAAGAGAGTCTTAGTGGCCCTGCAAGATGGAAACTTGGACGGAGGGGGGCCGGGCGTCGCGTAGGCCGTGATCGCTTTCATCGAGTCTGTGTTCTCGCACATTGCAGAGACCAAAAAAGTCGGCAGGCCAGTTTCGGATTCAGGGTTAGAGATGGCTGGAACCTTTCCGGTACTGAGGCCCGACTGCCTTGTTGCTACCAGTGCTTGCCTGCTATAGTGATCACTATAGATTAAAATTAATTAATACAACTGAGGGAGAGTCGTGGTTAAAGGCAATATCAGAAGCTCTCGGACGATATTTGATTGCGGAGTGTCTCTTCAACCTTACTCTTCGTTGAAGTGCGTTCGCAAGTCTACACATGCTGCTTCAAGGCCTCGGACCTGTCGAGCTCCTGATCGTCCGTCAACTCTGGCCTAGAATATCCCAGAAGAGGCCCTCAACGCGAAGTCGCAAGCAGCAAAGCGCGCAAACTGCTATCGAGGAACTTCGCTTCAAAACTTACGAAACTATGTAAAATATATGATACCTTGGAGCGAATCAATAACGCACTGCAGCATGTTTTGCAAGGATGTGGGAACCCGGCCTTGGCAAAGCTTCAGCATGTACAGTATCCATACGTGCCCAAAGCCACTACCCGATTCCATCTAAAGTTGGGCTAGGGCTATGCTTAGGGCAGCTTGTTGAGCCTCAGGTTGCTGTTCTGATCTCCGCAGCGCTGTCTCTGCTGCCTCAGCTTGTGGGGTTGTCACCACCCCTCCCTTCCCTCCAACGAATGGGGGGGGGGACGTGCCACCACCACCCCGTCCCCCCCATCCAGGGAATTTCTTTATCATTATTGTCATTATGACTAACAGTAATTTATCTTAGTATTAGTATTAGTGTATTTGTAGTAGTATTAGTTTATTAGAATTAGTATTGGTGTTAGTATTTCTATTATTTTATTTATTGTTATTACTATTACTATTGTTATTTTGCTATAAGTGTAATTAGAACACTACTTTTCATTGTTTGTATTATGGTTCGTAATTATTTGTGGGTTGGTGGTGGGTAGGCACGCATTTTCGACAGGTTGCTTAGTATCAAAAGAATGAAGTAATATAATATAGCCCAAAATGTTTAGTATTGTTGTACAAAAAACATGTGGCAGGTTGCGGAGGGGGGGGGGTGGGGCGGGGGTGGTGGTGCTGGTGGTGGGGCATTTGGTGGTGGTGGTGGTGGGCCCCCCTCAAACTTCAAGTAAAAATAAAGTTGGGAGTCCGGGCTTTGTGCAACGGAATGTGTTGTGCTCGGGAAAGCCACGGAGACTTTGCAGGCGCTTTGTAGATGAGCAGAAGGCCTCCATTGGCCAGATGCTTCAGCCCCATGCCATGCAGGCACCTTTTGCGGCATTCTTGCACGGGGTTTCAATTGAATTGATAGGATTCAACAGCCCTCAGCCCACCCTACCACAACGGCATCTTTGAATAGGGTAGAGGGCTTTCCAACAGCAGTTGAGCTGCTGAACCGAATTGGAATTAGCAGAAGTATCGACTTGGCGGTTGTTTGGTTCCTGGTGCGCTACTCCAGAAATGGCCGAACTGTGAAGGTGGCACCCGGTTTCGTCGAAGCCGTATTCAAGCTCATCGCTGTGGTGGCTACCTGAGCCAGTCTGTCGTGATCTTTCCTGTAGTGACACATGTCTTCAGCTTAGCTGAGCCTGTGGTGCAGACAAAGTTGCGGAATCCGAAAGCATCAGACCGCGGCTTCGAGGGTGTCTCCTCGCTCCACGAGTTGAGGTTCCCACAAAATACGTGCAAGACTGCATCCCCTCTATCCTGGAGGGCATCCGATCTGCATTCCCACAGGCCTGGGGTAGCGCAGGTGCTGGGTTGGGAGCATTTTCCCACTTGCCTGGGACAAGGGTGTGGAGCATGCGGGAATCAGAACCGCATCCGGCGCTGGGCTTTTTCATCTGGTGCTGAGGTTGGGGCTGTCTAGCAAGCTCCTTTGGGTCTGCGCTTCTACTGGTCTGCTGAGCGTCCCGTTCCCAAGTTTAGTCAGCACCCTCCAAACCAGCCCCGTCTCTGCACGTTGCTACCAGGAGTTCGCGAATTGGCTGGAAGCCGGTCTCGGCCACCTGCCCCCGTCAGTGGGCTCCAAGGCACGGGGCCTCCATCCCTGATTTCCTGAACTTCTGAAGCCTTCAGCTGTGCACTTCGGACCCTCCGCCCAAAGCGGCCCGAGTAAGCACACTGCTGATCGGACTACTCGCTGGCCTGTCATCATGATGGTCGTTGGTACGCCAAAGCCGAGAAGCCGTCGAAGCGCTGGATCTGTAAGGAGGGTGTCAACTCCAGCTTCCAAGGGCATCGGACTTTGGATTTAGATTTGTGCTTGCGCCTGGTCTCGTGGTTGAAGCAGATTGGTTATCGGCTTGTGCATTCAAGCTTCCCGGCTTTGGTGTTCTGGCGCAGGGGCACGGTGAAGCTTGGTAGTCAGGTTCGCTTCAAATATGAAACACAATCACACATGCATCGCCGGCAGTTCGAACCTGCTGAAATCCCAGCAGGCCTTCGGACCCAACAGTTTCAACCAAAGCTCGCTCAACTTGTGTCCCCAAGTTGTGTACACTCACGACAGACATAACATCCTGCTAGCCGTGTGTGGTGTTGACATTGGAAAGGCCGAGCTTCAAAAGTTCGGAGAGCAGATTTTGCGCGGCGACGATGCACAGGTCTACGAAGCGATCCAGGAGTCGGGGCGTTGAACTTTTGCATGTCTTCGTCGGGATGCGTCGGGTTCTCATAGAGGGAGGTTATTGGCACAAGAAAGGCTTGTTCAGGCCAGCTACCTGTTCATGGCGGGATGAGCCGACGGCTTGAGCGCGAAATTGCAAGCCCTTCTTCGAACCACAAATGACCAGAGGACCTATGCTACCGCTGCGAGCAGGTGCAACAGAGCTGTAGGGACATAAAGGTGTGTGTGGGGGTCTGCAAGGACTTGCGCTTGCTAGGTTGCTTTGTAAAGCCTTTCCCTTTTGGCTCGAAGTTTACTTCATGAACCTTTGCCCTCTCAAATTTTGCAGGCTTAATGGCTTTACAGCGAGGCTTTTAGTGCAGAGTTTTGTGGGTTATCAATGACAAGTTAGGATTACTTGAGGATTACTAAAAATGAAGGGTGTTGGCTGCTTGTTCGAAATCGCGCAGGCCCGAAGACTTAGCTGGACAACGGATGGCTTGGGAAGGAGTTTGGATGTACTCGCCGGCCGGTGGGAGTATCTTCAAAGTGGCGTTTCATGTTGGAATCTTCCCCTTCAAAGAGTTTCTTGAAGTCAAGCCCTTTGTAATTTCTTGGTCGACTCACCAACATAATCTGTGGAAGCCATTCCGGTTGATTACCCGAAGGCGAGCACAGGCTAGGATCCGAACCTCAGGCTTCGGCCCGAAGAACCTTCACTTCCCGTAGGTAGTTTTACGGAGCCGCGGCCAAACCGACAGTGGAGGCCGGAGAAGCATGAGCGAAGCCCCAACCCGGAAGTTCACAGCACAAGCGTCACGCGGGCATATAAAAAGCCGATAGCCCTAAACCTGACTTCGGAGGCAGGGCGCCAAGTGAGTCTTGAGCTTTCTAAGCTGTTGTCCAGCTCAGGGCTGACACCTACAGATCTTGCGAGCGGTTCAAGACATGTTTGTCTGCGTGGGCTGAATGCAGGCTTGGGGAAAAGGGCTTTAGCAGTCTCCGAGGCTTAGGCTCCCGGCGTTCATGTCGGGATATGTGATCTTGGTTTTGAATGTTTGGTTCTGGGCTAGTTATGAATGAGTGAGTGAGTGGGTGAGTGAGTGTGCGAGTATTTCTCGAGTTTCTTCGGGTGCAGCGTTTCGAGCGTGCTTCAGGAGTGAAGGTTGGGGTCTCGGAAGGAGACGCAGCGAAGTGTCTGATGGTTTTTGTGAGACAGGTTTCGGAGATTTAGTTGAAGGCCCGACATTTCCAAGGAGAGGATGTGCATTCAGAAGGCCGGTCGGGTTCATGGCCCAGGCCTACTCGTAGCATGTAGCAACGAGGTCGCATCATAGCCTCTAAGACTCTGAGTTAAAGTTGCGGCTCAGTGCAAGGCAAGAAGAAAAGGTGATGCTCACCTGCACCTGCACTCGCCGACGCCTCAAGTCTTCGGGTGTTGAGGAACCTTCGGTAACCCAGACATTTTGTATCAAGGCCCTAACTTGTTTGGAAGGGCATGCAGTAGGACATATCTACAGCGGTGGCCTTTGGCTTGTTCTTGCTGCATCCTTTGCTAGGGTGGAGTTGGATTCCTGTTCTGGAGTTCCGTGCATGTAGCTCGTCGTTTTGGTGATCGGGCTCATCTGACGAGCAGCTTGTCACTCGTGCATGAGACAGGTCTGGCGCACGGTGAGCACGCAAATCACCAGGCAATCAGTCTATCGGCCGCAGGCTGCCTGAGAAATCGCGACGCCGGAATTCCGAAAGCTACCTGGCACCCCAAGCCATCTGGCCCTGAAGAATCGCGCGTATGTCGCCAGACGGCCTTGCTTCGGCTGGATTCAGCATTGCTTGATCCCGGCTCTTGGCTGGAAGACGTTATGGCAATCAGGATCGGCATTGTGCAAGGTACCAATGTCGTCAGGTTCAAAGCCAGTTCTGCAGGGAGGGTCGTCGCAGAAGTGTAAAACATGCACGCTCTGGGTGCGAACGCGTGTGGTGCAAAACCGAGCCCAGTCCTTGGCTGGCCCAGGCCTCAGGCGACTGCTTTGTCGAGATCTTGAGGCCGCACCCCACCCTGCACTTGATAATTTCTTGCTCAGCTGAGAACACCAGGTTAGCCGGAAAATCGAGGCAGATTGAAGCAATAAGTTTCGAGAGACTTGCTATACATGTGGAATATGCAATGTAGCTGGACCCCTGCAACCCCACGCCTTCCCCTCATGCCATCTTTGACGCTAGTGATGCCGACGAGGGATTTTCACAGGCCTCGTTGCGGGCTCACCTCTCGCGGCAGAGATGGAAAAAGACGAAGAAACGCAAAGTGGTTTGCCCGTGCTTCGGGGGTCAAACGGAAACGGGATTGTACCTGTTGCACTTAACAAGTCGGTTGTTGTCACCTCCGGAAGCCTGTTGTTTTGAAGATTGCAGAATGTGAGGCCATTCCTTCTTCAGACATGTGTGCCATGAGTCTTCCCTGCCGCTGCTGATTGCTCTGTCAAGTTGTCTGAGATAAAATCTAGCAAAGCATAAGAAGCCCTAAACTCCACCTGGTGCGCCGGAGCAAACAGCACACCTTTCTGTTTGCCGACACTTTCCCCTCTGCCCAAAGCACCCTCGGCCGGGCACCGACTATCAAAGCGACTGCCAGGCACTGAAATACAAAGGCAACGACTCCTCCATGTTCCCACCAGAGTCTACCATGAACTAGGGCTTCGCTCAGAAGTCTTCTGCATGTCCCGCACGAACGGCGCAGCTCCTCGGGTGCCCATGCACGGCTCCAAGCCGGACCTGCTTCTTGGTTCTGTTTGCGGCCCTAGTTCGGTTCTCGAGGTAGGCCCTGTTTTGGTGTCAACCAGACTGTCCAGCAAACGATCGCGCAGAGAGGAGACTGCATTATGATGTGTCGGAGCCGGGTCGAATCTGCGTCTTGGCAACGCGTAGCTGCGTAGCTCTCCGACTCTGCTCAGCATGCTGCATGCTGGATCAAAAGTTGCGGAGGGGTGAAGCAGCCCTGAAAATTTCAAGTTACTTACCAGGTGGGTTTCCAGGTATATTGCCTCGTGATGAAGCCCTCGCGGCTCCGCGAGGTTTGGCATTCTTTCCATCATCCAGCCTTCTACGGTCTCTGCTTCTGTGCCTTCCGCTTCTGGCTCTGATGACGACGGCAGCGAGTCCTGGTCTTGTTCCACGAGTGAGGGGACGGGCAGCGAGTTTGAATGCTGCAGATGCTTGGCTTGGTTTGATGTTCTCCACTTAAAGGACCTGGGCTGCTCTTCGAGCGGCTTATGTTGGGCAGGGTCGATGGAGTCCGACTGCTTGGTTCTGTTGGGCACCTGCTCTTCCAACCCTTCTCGTGCTGAGTGCGGAACCGCGAAACCCACAGCTGCGGCCGAGGAGTCACTTCCCGCCGAACCACAGCAGACCGGGACCTGCTGTGGGGGGGGATGTCGTATGGATTGCTCACCATCTGTTAATCCTGTGCCCGAGAAGGCCCTCGATACTTTGGAAGAACTGATTGAAATTTACGCCTTTTCCGCTCGGGGCCCAGTGTTCTTTTCTCGAGGGCTTCGGTTTCAGACACAGCTCCGGCATTTGCGAAGCTGGCTGGACATGTCTGAACTGTAACCTGCAGAGTCCCGGAATCCTTAACCCTTCCACCTTAAACTGCCATGAAACCCGAACCCTCTGACTGCTTGATGTTGAAATGACAGAAAATGGCGATCCCAGAGGCCACGAAAAGCCCCAGCTCGTAACCGAGTACCATATCCCAAGTATTTGAGCCCTCGAGTCCTGGTACTGTAGCTGAATCAATGCATCGTTCCTCGTCTTAGCCTAGGCCCCAAATCCACACCCACAGATCCTCACAATCCTCAACACCGTGACCAATGATGGCGGAGGAATTGAGAGGCCTCCTGGCCCAGCGTGACAGCATCAATGCAAGCATCGAGGAAAGTGGGTCCTTCCGGAAATGACTTTGACTATAGGATTCGGAGGTTTTGCGGTCCGGGTTTCTTCAAGGAAAGGCCTCTGACTCAGACCACAAGTGATCTGCTTGGGAGTCGGAATGTTTCGGACAGGTCCAGACCTTGCAGAGAAAGTCGAAATTAAGCTGAGAAACTCACGTTGTCTTTCGTGTCTCCTTGGGTTGTGGCTTGTGCTACTGCCTTCGTGACCGCGAAAGTCTAGCTGGCAGCGAGCAGAACCTCGCCACTGCCTCCACAGATTGGTTCCCGAGTCCCCGAGTCCCCACATCTCTTTGGGTTCCCGGTGCCCAGTACATCATTGGCCCGGAGGAATACGTCCGACGGCGAGGTTTAGAACTTCCGACAGCCACTCGGAGGGCAAAATGCTCAGGGAGGAACTGAGGTGGACAGACAATGAGGTGCAGATGATAAGGACAAAAAGACGAGGTGGTCTGATAGGTGTGCGTCAAATCCTGTCGATCATCCGTGTTCGAGCCAGGCCCAGGACGTTACGGAGCACTCGTACCTGGAGTTCGTCTCGCCCGAGGTAGAGAGAAAGTGGCGGGAAGAGGGTTGCTGCGATCAAGTGGCATCTCGGACTGTCTCAGGTTTGGAGCCCAAGGTTCCCAGAGTTTGCCGTCAGGGGTGTCTGGGCTCACGGGCACAGGGCTTTTGTCTGAGTCTCTGAGTCTGAGTGTTGAGTCTTGCTCAACCGGGTTCATGGTTTATGGCTTCAGGGTTCCTGGCCGGGTGACTACAATTTGTGTAGCCTGCGGTTTGGTCAATGATGAGCCGCACATAGCCACACCGTGCTCGATAATGATAACTCTGTGAGTGCCGTTCTCAAACAGCAAGCACAAAGACCGCCCTGGCTTTGTCGGTGTCAAACCCCCCTGTTGAACGGCTGAACTCTCAGCAGTACCGTCTAAGACTGCAACTCCCCGCAACTCAAGCTCCCTTGAATCGCCAAGCCGCTAGGTCTTAGAAAAGCCTGAAAATTCTCCATCTTCTCCATTCTGCCCAGGTGCTTGCGAGCCTCTTCTTGGGCCTTTGTGAGGCCGCTTTGCTCCAAAACTCCGAAGGCACAGTAATCTTTATCATTGACAAATTGACGCATCATACTCGGAAGAGTAGTATGTGCAACGTTGTAGACTTCGGGGCTAACCGGGGCCGGGAAGAACTCGAG